CACATCTAAGAGTCTGTCTATTCCCTATCTAAACCTAGTCTAGAAATAATGCCCAGACCTTACTGGCAGCTATAATACAACTAATTCCTAACCAGACAAGAATCTCCAATGCTACCTCACCTAGCAAAAGTAAATAAATAGCAACAAAATCAGTTAAAAGAAGGGAAATGGGGCTAACACGCAGGTAACAAAAAATGACACAAGTGACACCCTGTTGTGGTTGTTGCTCATATTTTAGTTCTTGTTTGCATTAGTCACTTATAGATGATCAGTAGTTTCAAGTCACAAAATATAGACCAGAAAGTGGGTCTACTAGCTTGCAGAATTTAACTAAAATTGCCAATTTGGACAAAATGGATTTAAATTTACAATTTTTTTTAATCATTATGAACTTATATAGTTTACTAGGGAATATAAACGACTATGTTTTATTAGAAAAATAAATAGCGTTACCATCTGTTTAGAAGGCCGTTCCAGTAAGATAAAAATGATGTATGTAGCCTCGCTGTTAAAACCAAACTAAATTCCTCCTCTACACACGTAAAACATGCATGACTGTTATCAGTGAATGTAAATGCGGCTTGGCCGTAAGACTCCATGTTTAGCCTGAACATCACGAGAACAATATCGTGTGAGTGTAAAGGACACGATACACACCTGTTTCCAAATCAGATAAAAATATATTTATAGTCACCTGATTTTATTAGTTCAAACTCCAGCTAGATAAAGGGTAATTTCCTGATTGTGGATTTAGGCTATCCCTCTGACATTATCCCACATGTCTTGTAAAGGACAGCATTTAATGGAAATATTTTCATTATCAGCAGTCACATGCTTCATTCTTGTCCACTCCATCTGCCTTTTTCCTGATCCCTACCTCACCTCTCTGTTACCTCCATCTCCACCCGTCACTACTCTCAATCCATTACTTTAATCTCCATACGTCACTACTCTCTATCCATTACCTCCATCTCCATCCGTCACTACTCTCTATCCATTACCTTAATCTCCATCCGTCACTACTCTCTATCCATTACCTAATCTCCATCAGTCACTACTCTCTATCCATTACCTCCATCTCCATCCGTCACTACTCTCTATCCATTACCTCCATCTCCATCCGTCACTACTCTCTATCCATTACCTCCATCTCCATCCGTCACTACTCTCTATCAATTACCTCACTCTCCATCTGTCACTACTCTCTATCCATTACTTTAATCTCCATCCGTCACTACTTTCTATCCATTACCTTAATCTCCATCCGTCACTACTCTCTATCCATTACCTTAATCTCCATCCGTTACTACTCTCTATCCATTACCTTAATCTCCATCCGTTACTACTCTCTATCCATTACCTTAATCTCCATCCGTCACTACTCTCTCTCCACTAGCTCAATTTCCATCCATCACTACTCTCTATCCATTACCTTAATCTCCATCAGTCACTACTCTCTGTCCATTACCTCCATCTCTATCCATCAATACTCTCTATCCATTACCTCAACTCCATCAGTCACTATTCTCTTTCTATTACCTCAATCTCAATCCGTCACTACTCTCTGTCCATCCATCACAAGGTTCTATCCATTACCTCACTCTCCATCCATCACTATTCTCTATCCATTACCTCAATCTCAATCCATCACTATTCTCTATCCATTACCTCACTCTCCATCCGTGACCACTATCTATCCGTTACCACATTCCTCATCACTACTCTCTATCCATTAACTCACTCTCAATCTGTCACTACTCTCTATCCATTACCTCTTTCCATCCGTCACTACTCCCTATCCATTGCCTCAATCTCCATCTATTACTACTCTCTATCATTACCTCAATCTCCATCCGTCACTACTCTCTCTCCATTACCTCAATTTCCATCCATCACTACTCTCTATCCATTACCTCAATCTCCATCCATCACTACTCTCTATCCATTACCTCACTCTGCATCCATCACTTGTCTCTATCCATTACCTTAATCTCCATCCGTCACTACTCTCTATCCATTACCTCAATCTCCATTCGTAAAGGATATCCTTTACCACATTCTCCGTCTATTGCTACTCTCTATCCATTGCCTCACCCTCCATCCATCACTACTCTCTCTCCATTACCTCAATCTGCATCCATCACTAGTCTCTGTTCATCCATCACAAGTTTCTATCATTACTCTCTGTTCATCCATCACTCTCCATCCGTCACTACTTTCTATCCATTACCTCAATCTCCATCCATCACTACTCTCTCTCCAATACCTCAATTTCCATCCATCACTACTCTCTATCCATAACCTCACTCTCCATCCATCACTTCTCTCTGTCCACTACCTCACTGTATGTGTACATATGTACACAGCTTTAACAATTTCTGAGGGAATCTATTTACACAACTGTACCTTTGTTTGTGTATGTCCTTGTACACAGCTGTAACAATGGCTACATGAGTCCATGTACACAGCCAAAACATTATTTATGTAAGTCCATGTACCAAGTTAAAACAATGTTTGTTTAAGTCCATGTACACAGCTGTACCAGTGTTTGCGTGACTCCATATACACAGCTGTACCAGTGTCTGTGTGAGTCTGTGTACACACACAGCTGTACCAGTGTCTGTGTGAGTCCATTTACACAGCTATAACAGTGTCTGTGTGAGTCCTTGTACACAACTGTAACAGTATCTGTGTAAGTCCATGTTCACAGCTGTACCAATGTCTGTGTGAGTCCATATACACATCTGTAACTGTATCTGTGTGAGTCCAGGTACACAGCTGTAAAAGTGTCTGTGTGAGTCCGTATACACACCTGTATTGGTGTCTGTGTGAGTCCATGTTCACAGCTGTAAAAGTGTCTGTTTGAGTCCGTATACACACCTGTATTGGTGTCTGTGTGAGTCCATGTTCACAGCTGTAAAAGTGTATGTTTGAGTCTATGCACACAGCTGTAATATTGCCTTGTGAATCTATGTACATTTTTTAAATGTTGATTTTCCAAAAATTACAGTTATTTATATTTTGCCAAAAATTCATAAAGATATTAATAACCCCCCCCAGGAAGATTTATAGTGTGCGGGATAGGTTCCCTTCTATCCTCTCTATCACAATATGTTGATAGGTTTTTACAAGGTTTGGTCAAAAAATGTCTAAACTTTCTTAAAGATACAATGAGCCTATTAACTATTTTAAAATAATTTAAATGGGAAAGTAATTTTATTATGGCCACTTGTGATGTTAGTAGCTTGTACACCAATATTGCTCATGACAGGGGTTGTAAAGCTACTAAATATTTTTTAGAAAATTTGGTGAATTAAATAGTTTACAAGTGGATTTTATTTTGAAGGGAATTAATATAATTTTTTTTAAATATATATTTTGGTTTGATAATCAATTTTATCTGCAAATCCAAGGGACAGCTATGGGGACTAGGTTTGCCCCGCATTATGCCAATTTGTTTATATCACACTTGGAGGAAATGTTTATTCTCCCTAGCATAAACTCTGGGGCAGGCCTAGTCCTCTACAATCGAAACGTTGATTATATTTTTATTAAATGGAAGGGGAGTCAGGACGTACTAGTGCGTTTTCTTGATTCCCTTAATATTAATGAATATAATATCAAACTAACATGATATTAGTAATCAATAAATTTCATTTTTAGATTTAGATATTTTTATTGAAGACAATATTATTAAAAGCTAAACTAATTTTAAAATTGATGTTAATAGTTTTATAGATTTAAAAAGCTGTCATTTTAAACCTTGGCTTGTTAATGTGCCGAAAGGACGGTTCCTTAGATTATGTAGGAACAGTACAGATTTCAAGGATTATCAAAATAAAGCACTTATTTTAAAACAACAATTTATGACCCTGTTTTTATTGATAATGTTCGGGAACAAATAGGACAAAAAGATAGGAACAAAAGAAATTCTCCAGGCACTCAAGGTGTTAAAGGCGCAGGCAGTTTTAATGAAACATAGTAGGCCAAAACGTTGCTGCTCTCTTTTTTGTTTCATTAAAACTGCCATCGGCTTTAACACCTTGAGTGCCTGGAGAATTTCTTTCATTGCCTTGACGTTATGGGATTGCTGGTTCTGCTCCGGAGCACCGGGTGGCTGCTGGAATTGAGTGCGGCTCCTACCAACGCTTTTGCAAAAAGATAGGAACAAACTTTTAGCTTATACAAAGACAGATACTAATATGAGAATAGAGAACGAATCAATTCTCCTCATTTTTAATTTTCGTTCAAATAATAGGGCTGTATGTAACACTAGAAAAGCTACAATTTCTTGGGAAATTGTGTGAAGTGTTCTTGCCTCCACCAGTAGTCTACAACTGGAGTGGGCGGAGTAACTGGGTGGAGTGGCTTGAGTAACTATTGTGTGGTTGGAGTGGCTGGAGTAACTGAAAGGTTGGACTGGGCAGAATAACTTTATGGAGTGGGCAGAGTAACTGTGTGGAGTGTTTGGAGTGAGTAGAGATAGTAAACATTACACTAACCAATTGATTGATCAAATTTAAAAAGTGCACATGGCAAGTTGATAGAGTGAGAAATGCATTTCAACTTTTACTTATTTATATAGCACATTTAATTGCAACGTTGTTGCCCAAAGTGCTTCACAGCTACATTAAAACATACATTTATAAAAACATTAGCAGGTGGACGAAAGGTCCTGTCTATGACATCACATGCTGCTCCAGCCTGGCACAGGTCAGAGTATTTTGGCGGTTGCCATCTTCAAACGGTCGTATTTTAAAAACTATAAATCCTACAGCGAAGAGCTTTATATTGTGAGAATCACAAGACCCAGACCTACATTTCGATGCATAGTATGTCTCTGAAGTATTAAAAATGAAGGTACAGTCGCAGTTTAGAAATTGCACTTCAAATTTGAGCTTTGCAGAGTGAAGTTTCAATGAATGTCAATGGACGGCGTTAGTTGCAAACAAATGATTATATTGTGAAAACTATCAGGACTACGGCTTAGCCGTTGACATGTTTAGTGACAGCAGGGATAGCTGAACGTTTTGATATAAGATTTGTGTAGGTGGGTTTGAAAATAAGGGAGTGGTGGCAGTTTAGAAATCATGTCCTGATTTTTCAGCTCTTGCCAGCTCCCACTCTAGCTTTGCCATTCATTCCTATGGGACAAATTTCGCCACAAGAACGACGATATTCCGTGAACCATTCGGCGAAACGTTCCACAAAGTAATAGCACACCAATCTGGAACAATCCGCACGTTTCGGTTTATTTCTGTCTATGTAGTGTAAAAACTGTGGGAGGAGTTAGGGTGGTAAATTTGGCTATAATAATAATAATAATATATGTGAGATAACATTAAGTGGTCTTGCTATGCAAGAACACTTAATTATTAAGAAACATTGGCATATTTTAAAGAAAAACCCTGATATTAATCTACTGAAAACAAGCCTAAATTTATTTTTCGTGGGGCCAGAAATTTTAGACAAATTTTAACCAACATCTTTCTAGATAACGTGGATAGTGGTAGCAATTATCTTAGTGATGGAAAGGGCTTCTCTTACTGTAGATATTGTGTAGGGAGTAGATTACAACATTACAAAA